GACACCGTACAGCGGCAGTGCAGTATACTGAGGATGTTTACGACGAAAGCGTAGATCTACGATTTATTTTCTGTAAATACTTCGCCCATCGACATATTTACCTTTCCTAAACCAAGCATTTTTGTAATTCTGGACACAAGAAATGTGTAAACGAAATTTCAGCTTCCTCCATAAGGTAAAAATATGAAAACATTGTTGTAATTTGTTTGGCTACGACAGCAGAAGTCGTACGCGTACGCAATGAGGACGTTGCAATTGTCCAGCGCAGCCTGGGCCTGGCTGTGGTGTATATAACAACGCTTATTGAAGAGACAGGGTACCACGCATAAGCTACAATATGGTCCATGAACATGAACACAAGAAAGTCTGGAAATATCGCCGGAAAAAAGTCACAAATTTTGAGCAAAACTGTTTATTTCGTTAAAAAGGTATTTATTAATGGGAATAACAGTGCGAGGATCCGGTCTTCACTGCGTGATAATGACCGGGTTCGGGGGTGACCGCTGTTAATGGACCTCGACTTCGTCTCAGTCCATTAACAGCGGTCACCCCCAAACCCGTTCATTCGTCTCGATCCATTAACAGCGGTCACCCCCAAACCCGGTCATTATCACGCAGTGAAGACCGACTCCTCACACTGTTATTCCCTTAATCGACATACAGATCCTTGTCATTAGATTAGTGGAACTCACAACATGTGACATTCGTTATTGCGCCCATTCACGCCGCGGCCCAAAAAGTACTATCCGCCCATGGGGAATGGGAAATACTAGTAAACAGTTTTATACAACACCTGAATAAATCCCCATCATCTGATTGGTGAATTGTAGATCACGTGACATATTATTATTCGGTATCCGCTTCGTTAGTGTGACGTCACCTCCAGCACTTTCTGCACCGTTTGGAACCGGAAGTTAACGCAGTTCGAGCGTTTGCAGCCAATGGGCGCTAGTAATCAGTGGTGCGTGCGCGTGTATGACGTTTTTACTAACGAGCCGGATAATGCACGGTGCGACCATGCGTTATACCCATGCGTTATACCGTTTCACTTTGCGCTTGTTCCATGACGCGGTATTTGCGTGCAAAATGCATGCTGGTGTGCGCGTTCAGCGTATGGTTCAAACATTTTCGTGAAGGGGTACTTCAACATCTTTAAAATCAAAATAAGTTGTAGTTTATAATTTACCAATCAAATGATGAGAATTTATTCAGGTGTTGTATAAAACAAATAACGAATGTTTTACGTTCGTGCGATGGAAAGAATAATTTCATTCGGTGACAGATTGAATGTTCTATTCCACTCGGCTTCGCCTCGTGGAATAGAACATTCAATCTGTCACCTCATTAAATTATTCTTACCATCGCACTCCAAACATTCGTTATTTGTATAATAGGATCATTCTTGTTCCATTACGCGGTATTTGTGTGCAAATGCATGCTGGTGTGCGCGTTCAGCGTTGCGCGTAGTGCGTATTGTTCCAAAAAGCCGGCGCTACAGCCATGGGTTCCAACATTTTCGTAAAGGGGTGGTTTGGAAGAGAGAAATACATTTTCCTTCAGTTCTGTATTGAAAAAAAAAGTTCAAATATACCAAATCGTCGCATATCTGACGAACCGACGAATACGCGCGAATACGCGCAAATACGCGGAAACGCCATTCTGAGAAAAACGCGTTTTAAGTTGAACACATTTTACGTGTGCATTTTCGATTCAATTCATGCAAGATAATCGTTTGTTTGTTAAAATACATCTATTACTTTGTTTTTTGCTCGTAAGACTAAAGGTTTGTCTGATTTTTGCTGTGAAACTTATTCGTCACTTCGCGATATAGCAATAAACGTCATTGTGCTTATTCGCCACGTAAAAATGTCTTATTCGTCACTTTGTAAGATAACATTTTGACTGTGCGCGCGTTTTCGCATCAAAATTCCATGGCATATTTGTCACTTCTTTACAACACTACTCGCATTTTCAAAGAAATGTGTATGTTTTACCCTGCGAAGAGTGCCTGCTGCCCCTTGGGCCCCAGGTAAGCGAATTTTTTGAATATTTTTTTTTTACGGCCAATAACGTTCACCTCCTATCTAATCCTCATTCAACCCTTGCTAAATCAGCTGGTTCAATTAACTTTGCAGCCAGGGCTACACCCAGGCCGTGTCAACAAACTTTCGACCAGGCCTCCAGCCAAGTCTCATTGAAACTAGCCTTGGTCAATGCTCTCGTCGTTATTCGTCCCGTACGCGGTCAATCGTTGGCCACTATTTTTTTATGCAAATCAGTTGAGGACGATCTCGAGCCTTGGTTCAATCTTCCATGTGAGGTTTTGGGGGTGGTGCTCATTATGTTAATAGCCTTAGCTGACCTTAAATGTCATTTTCTTATTGGTCGATCGTTGCGTGGAAACTTGCATAGTGAAACGTGGCACCGTACATAATCCATACAAGTATACGTTGTGTGTCTGCACCCGACACCAATGCACAAAAACTGTGGTTCCTGTCACGTCCGCAAAAGGCGAATAGCTGCAAATAATTTGATGACGTCCGGATTTACCAAGGTGTGATTGGACACTCCACATATTAGCCCCGCCTACACTTATCTGTATTCGCATACAAGGTCGTGCGCTAGAAATCCAGCGCAAAATAAAGAAAAACATAAGCTTTTGCCGACGATTGAACCAAGGCTCGAGATCGTCCTCAACTGATTTGCATAAAAAAATAGTGGCCGCATGAGGTCGCTGTTCGCGCTGTATTTTGACGATTGACGATTGACCGCGTACGGGACGAATAACGACGAAAGCATTGACCAAGGCTAGCCCAGCCTGACCTTGGATACCCGATACGCCACATATACACACTTTGGTTCGAACTGTAGTGCGGCCTGGTACACTTGCACTGGCCCCGTCCAGTTACCGTTGCCTCCCGGTCACCGTAGCGGACCGCTCCCGCTTCGGTCTGACCGTCGATAACCCGTACCGTGCCGGTGCCCACTCAGTTCGTATTGGTTGACATGGTTTTGCCATAGTACATAGTACATGTATAGACTTTGTAGACGCCAACCTGTTATCTCTATAACGCTACCAAAGACTACCAAAAGGAGAAACCTATAGGTTGATGAAATCTAACAAAGTCATGTAAAGTGAAGAGATGAATAAATCAGTGTATTGACATGTGTGACTGTCACCCATAAGCTCTGTTTCCCTCCAACTTATTGAATTATTGTTGACTCTAATAAATGTTTCATGAACTGCTGTTAGGGAACGCAACACTATGAATAGGGTCTTGCGTAGTGCGGGATAGTACCTGCTGCCCAAAGGGCACCAGTTGACGAGTTGTTGCAAAGTTTTTTTGTAAACGCTGCGCAGGGTTTACAAACATTTTCTATTTTTTAAGGAAAAAAATATGGCAACACTTAAACCCCACGTGCACATCCAAGTACTTACTATATTATGTCATAATAATATACAGTAGCCTAATAAAAAGTTATTATAAAGGAAAATATCTCGAATGGCCGCAACAAACTAATAGGAAAACAAAACTGTGAAGGCGGACTAGCAACGAACAACACTATTTATTCATTCATTCATTTATGACAGCAATTGCTTTAAAAACAATCAGTTTTGTTTCATAATCCCATAATTATTGTCTTCCAAGGCACAATCTCAGTAAAGGCTTAATGAGGCATTCTGCTATAATTAGCCGCTTAAAGGGCTCCATTTTCAAGAATTTTGGTTTCCTAAAAAACGCCGTCTTTGAAAGAAAATCTACAAATACAACATATTTTTATTTCATCATCCTGAGTGTCACCTTTCTGGGCACACTTCATTTTCGTTTCGGGCTTATTTCCATGATGTCTTATGCTGAAATTAGCCACTTAAAGGGGTTCAATTTTCGAGAATATCTCGAAATGCATTATTTTGGGTCTCCCATAGAACGCATTTTTTAAAGAAAGTGTACCGCACATGTTTTGAATAAATACTATTTTTTATTTAATAATCATATTTTCACCTTCTAGGGTGCATTTCATTTCAGTATGGGTTTATTCCAATAAGGTATTCTGCTCTAAGTACCCGCTTAAATGGACTTCGTCGAAATGACGGTAATAATGCTTTCCTATAAATCGCCGTTTATGAAAGAAAGTGTACCGCACGTTTTAAATAAATATCCTAATTTTCAGCCATTAAGGGGGCACTTCATTTCAGTATGGGCTGATTAAAATGAGGTTTTCTGCTCTTTTTAGCCACTTAAAGGGGGCCGTTTTTGAGATTATCTCGAAATGCAGTAGGCCTTTTGTGGAATTACGCCGGTTTTGAAGGAAAGTATATCGCACGTTTTAAATGAATCCCAGTCTGTACATGTGTACAAGCTTATCCGTCACGCAGTCCTAGCCTAGTACATCTTTGTACTCCGTTCATTTTAGGATTACAATCCACACACACAAAGTTACGTAAAGGTGAAGTAGTAACGGTTATCTCTTTGTAGTCATCATTATAATGTTGCAGCGCCGTCAGTTTGTTTTGAAAGCTGACGGAGAGCGCGAAACAGAAGATCCCTGGTTCCCTCATACGCCATTCAATTATTAAGACGAGTGTGTGCGTAACCAATGAATAACTGGTTATTCGTCACTTCGTCAGATGGTGGATGCGCGCTGTTCTGATATGACCAAGTGTCGAATAATTTATTCGTCAGTTCGCAAGAAACAGTTTTTGCAATAATGTGCCGAATCGTCACTTAGTGGGTTTCGGAACTACAAAAATGAAGCGTTTTCATGAATTAAAAACCTAAACATCTGAAAATTCGAATATTTTAACCCTAAAACTCAATTAATAAAAAAAAACACCAAAATGACCGATTTGTCATTTCGTCAGATATGCGACGAAATGACAAAAAATTATATGTCAGTTATATAAAACAAATATTGAGTGGCTTTAAATTGTGAAATGGGAGGAATATTATCGCTCGGTAAAATCTGGACTTTTCCAGTTCACTCGGCTTCGCCTCGTGAAATGGAAAAGTCCAGATTTTACCTTGCGATAATATTCCTCCCATTCCACGCAGAGCCACTCAATATTTTGTATACTATTAAAATTTAAGTACCAGGTTAAATCAGGAAAATACTATTTGCTCGTTATCAAACATTGAGAGAATGCTCAAGGGCTACCAGTTCGTCACTGGTCTTATTGACCAACCACATGTTGGAACTTTTGAATCTTCGCACCTTGGCATCGTGCCCATGGATACTGGCGGCGTGCATAACAACCGCGGAGTAGCTGGCGTTCCTCTCCAGGAACTCGTAAAACTTGGGCCCTGGTGGGAATAGTTTAATGTCGAGTGGCTTGATGTTGACGTGCACCGGTTGATCAGCTCGCAACAGTTTGTTCATGACGCTCTGATCCATATAGTCATTCCCTTCCATAAATGTAATCCATTTCTTAACAAACTGAATCGTCACCGTGGTTGGCTTAAAGTAAGCAAAACCAGCACAGTAGTGTGACTTGTTAGTTCTAGTCGGATAAGGCGACCTGGGATCCATCATAGACATATCGAAGTCTCCTTGGAAGTACGGAAGGGGATCTTGGAACCAAAAGGTGTCGGAATCTGTGAAGAGAACCTCCAGGTTCTGATCCAGAAGGCTAAGAATATATCCCTGGCGCTTCTTTAACAAGCTGAAGTAACGGTGGTGATCGGTGCTCATGACCAGGTCACTTTGCACTTCACCGGAGTCAGTCATCTCCACGTGTATTGCTGGATCTATCTCGGTTCTCCTGCGCAGATACCTGTAAACGTTCTTGTCCTCTGCAACAATCACGGTGTAAACACAAATACCGATCTTTTTTATGCTCTCCAGCATGTTTATCGTCATATCGAGAAAGCCTAGATTGGTCGTCGTCAGTAACACAACTCCAGGTCTGTTCATAATGTCATTGAAGGTGCAATTGGACAGTGGCCCTCGTGCGTTCTTCTTTCTCCATAGAGAGACTACGTCAAAGGCTTTGATGGACGCTTGCTGTTTGCAATGATGTGACATGGTAGGATGCGGAGTGTAGCAATAATCTGAGGAGCAAAACAAAGGATTTTGATCCCTACATTTAACAACTGTTTACTGCTGTGTTGTGGGATATGACTTTTTTTAACAGCCGAGGGTCACAAAGCATCCGAGGTGAAGCCAAGGGTGCTCTGTGGCCCGAGGGTGCGAACACAAACTGTCAAGAACATTTGTACCAAGAACGCCTTAGGTAAAGTTTTACATAATTTCAAGCAAGTTTGTTTTGTAAATATAAAAACATAACCTCTACATTTGTTTCTTCCCGACATATGGGTGGGCTTTGAGCTAAGCGAAATTAAGGGTGGTAAAGGAATATCTGAACACTATGCCTTTAACATGCAAGGCTGGTGAACATAGGGGGTGGTATATTGAAACAAGCTCAGGATTTGCTGGCCTCCGAATTGGCAGGGTTTTGAAGCCTAGGAAAATTATCGGGAAAAGTTGTAAAAGGTTGAATAAGGCAATTTAAAAAAAAAATAGGGTGGTATATTTGCATATACACGAGGTGGTATATTTTTAAAACAAGATTACAAGCAGCCCTGAAAGTTGGTGGGTTTTGAAGTACACGGAAATGTGGGGTGAAAACTTTTTTATAAAGGAATCTTAAATACTGGAGTATATGGTCATTCTTACTTTAAAAGGTGGTTTATTGTAACAAACAAGGAAGAAATATCAAACTATGTTGACCAAAACTTGCCTACAGCCATTTAATAAATATATTAAATCCAATATATACAACAAATATTTCAAATATATCCAATTCAGCAAATTTATTGAACAAATCATACACGATGGATCTGCTGTCCAAACAGCGATACTGTCCATGCTGACCAACTTCCAAGATAAATCCAATCAATATAATCAAATAATTCAAAGATATCCAATTCGGGAGATTCACAATGCAGTGCGCCACCAAGAGTTTGCCATGGAGAGTTCATTTTTCAAGTTTACGGTCGACAAAACATGGCCTATTTGAATGAGTGTCAGTAGACAACTTGAACTAATTTGTTACAGATAAATATAGATAAAAAGCATAAAATAGGCCAAACAGACGCTCGAATCATAATTTTACGGAACAACTGACCGGAAAAACGAACAATTTCAAATGTCCCGCGCTGCAAATTTGTCGACATCTCCCACAATGCACTGGGAAAAATGAACTCTCCGTGGCAAACTCTTGGCGGCGCACTGCATTGTGAATCGCCCGATTTCAGCAAATAAATTTAAGATTTAAGATTCATACGTAAGGCCCCACCCCCTGAAAAAAGTCTCCGGTCTCTGGTATGGAGCTTGCCCAAAAAGTGGTGCGGCGACGCGGCTTATTTTTTTTACCTGTTTTTTTTTTGCTTCAAATGTCATCTGATGTCTGCAAATGGTGCCCGACTAAACTTAGTGCAAATATATGGGAGTCCAGAGAGGTCACATAAAGCTTATTCTCGATCATAACCCCATCTAAAACACGTTAAAATTGTGCAGCAGCAGGATTCCAGTTAAACCAGTGAGTTTGGCGGTTGAGACATCATCTTTTATTGAAAAAAAAACACCACTTTTTCATTTTGCCAACGCGCATGGCTACAAATACGGCAACGCGCGCGCATACCAGAAACCGGAGACTTTTTTTTGGGGGGGGGGGGTAATAAATCTTCAGCTATACTGGCTTTGCTGATCTACTTTGGTCTTTTAAATGATGTGAACTGACTAGTTGACTGACTTGGGGTGGACTGTCCAACAGAGGAACGTTCGTTGTCATCTTCATCAGCAAGTAGTGTTTCTTGTCAGAGTCTGTTAACATAACTAGCGATGAAGTTGAAGTCTCTGCTGAAGTCTGAACTGGCAGTGGATCTTGTCTTCATGCATGCTGGAGGTAGATGGAAGATTTCTCTGTGGCATGGGGTCTGTGGCTGCTGCTCTGGATTCTGTCGATGGGTTTTTGAACCTAGCCTTTCTCAAAGCGTGTGACATTTCACATCTCTATAAGTCACGGATGCAACTGGAGTATAATTTCATGCTCTGCTCACTCTTGTACCTACTAATGTTCATGATGTGCCGGTCCCTGAATACCGCATTATGCAAAGTCGTGACTGAAGAGTAGACGCACGTGTTGAGTGGTTGGTGTAGACGTTTGACAGCTTACAAGGAATCAGTGCAGCTAACATTCGAACTGGAGCCGTTCATGCTGCCTCTCCAAGGGTATGCGACTTGGCAGAGTGGGTCGTCTATAGTAAAGCAGAAATAAAGGTGGGTCCAAATAAATCTTTGAGTTAAAACTGTTACATTCATACATGTACTTCCCAAGGTTCCTTACCATGAATCATTTTACTTTTTATTACGTGGATAAATAGAAAGAATGTATAGTAGCCAGACGCCACTTCAGTGGTTTGCACAAAGTTTAGGGAGAGTCAAGAACATTTTTCAAAGTATTTCCTAACAAGACAGGAAATGTTTCTCAGTCCCAGTTTCATGTCTTTTCAACATTTTTTGCAACGACTTACCTTCATTGAGATGAAAAAAGGGGCTTCATTATGTTAAGTTCATTCCCAAATTGCAACTGCATCTTTATGATGGGTAATGTGTGGTAAGGATAGTGTCAATTTAAAGAAACAAAAATTAACATTTTTCAAAGTAGGAAATTTCCTAACAAGACAGGAAATGTTTCTCAGTCCCAGTTTCATGTCTTTTCAACACTTTTTTGCAACGACTTACCTTCATTGAGATGAAAAAAGGGCTTCATTATGCAACGTTCATTCCCAAATTGCAACTGCATCTTTATGATGGGTAATGTGTGGTAAGGATAATGTCAATTTAAAGAAACAAAATTGTTATCAGTGTGTACAACTAAGATTAACCCTCAAAGGGCCGGGGGAGGAATCCGCCCCTCGACTTTTTCCGCGATAGCCTTTAAAAAAATTTTTTCGCGACCCGAGCTGTTATGACTTTTTAGCCTCGAGCCTTGCGCATCTTTTGACACCAAAAATATAAAATCGGACTAGGGGTTGTCGCGCAGCGACAAATTTTCCCATATACGTCGTGTACACAGACCAGAATTACCATTCGTACATATTAGGTATGTTCATTACGAGTTGTTCTATGGGGGGGGGGGGGGGGGGGCGGAATCCACTACCCCGGCTAAGAGATGGTTAAAAAAACCGGCCCTTTTAGGGTTAAACAGTTCCTAAAGCTTGTGAATTCGCAGTTAAATCCACACACACTCCCTCAAAAAAAGAGGAAAAAAGAAGTGGAAACCCAAGACTAACCTGGCTGCTGTACCATGATACCATCAGTCGCTACTTGCTCTGGATCAGGCTTTGAAGTAGACGTACACACCGAAGTCCCTTTTGATTTTTATTAGCTCCATGCGACAACGAAATTTAATTTTAAGTTAAATTGGATTTCGATTGAAAATCACGAAAACAAACTGCGGTATAAACACAACAAGGGAAGATTATCTCAAAACATGTCGCACCCTGGCAACAGCTGATCATCTGTAGCTGTTTCTGCTCGAAACAGCTGATCGTCTGTCGCTGCCCCCACTCATGCGTGAAAATAGCGTGGGAACCAATATACACGCGTTTCCCCGTACGTGATATGTGTGACAGACTTTTTTTTAAACTTAAAACGTGATCGCTCTAGGCCAATGAAAATACAGTTTTCAAGACAGAGGATAACAATGAGAATTTTTACTGTGGGTTTGATATTTGATGGCCCAAATTGAATTTGTCAGGACTCTTACTACTTATCGCTGTACCACGGCGGATCCAGGAGGTTTTTTTGCGGGGGAGGTTCAGGCCCGTCAGGTTTTTTGGAATCAGGAAAACAGTGCTGAAATGTAGACAGATTTTTTTCTAGGGACACTTGGTCTCCTTAAGATAAAAGGGGGGGGGGGGCTGGTACCATTCTATGGGGGCGCTGTTCAAATCCGACTCTAATGCAAACTACATCGCACAAGACTACAAATATCCCCTGACCCCGCTGGCTACACCTCTGTGTCAGAGTGTTACCGACAGACAAACAAAGAGGTCAATATTATTAAAATTATTGGTATCATTGTCATAATATTGTTTAGTGTTATAGCAGGGGTGATTGACCCACAACACCCTCCCCCTCTGGATCCGCGCCTGAATACTTCATTTTGTTTTGCATGGGATCATTCATTTTGCTATTAAAGTAGCTTCTGTAATGTCTGCAATCCAATAGTTCATTTGTGCCGAAACATTTGGTGGGCTACTGTAGGATTATTGGTTTTCATTACATCGCAATTTCTATTTGGGTCTACCTCTGATGTTTCTATGAGCTTCTTATTGTAGGTTTTCCCAATTAATGAAGTTAGCATTTAGCACACACATCCTAACACTTTGATGGAAAGATCAACGCTCACTGAATTTCATATTATGTGCATCGTTACTATGCAGCATTCTAATTCGTCCTAGTTTTCGCCGATAAGTTTCGTGTCAAAATTGGCGTTGTACTGATAGGCCGTCAGCTGGATGTTAAAATTCGTTCGTTTCGCTCCAGCAATCGCGGGTCTAGATTTTCTTAACAGTTCTACCGAAATACACTACCAAAGAATGATATTGTAGAAGTTTTCCACATTTCGTCCTGCGGTTTTTTGATAATTTGTTTTGAAAAAGATAACTTTTTGTGCATTGTGGACGTTCAAAAACGTACCGCGCAACGCTAAAAAAAATCCTCCGCGTATGTCGCAATCGTACGTACCACGTGACGTGAACTGTCCAATCAGACATCAGATAGGAGGCCGTAGGTCATGACACTCAACAAACATGGCGGCGTCCATGGTGCGTCAACGTTTAACGTAAACATCGACCGATGCAAATGTAAGTGCATATAGAATCTGTCAAGTTTGAGGGAAAAAAAACAAAGCATCTTATGTCCGGGGATATTATAAGTTCACTGCCAAAGAGGGACTGAATTTTGCAGTGGCATCACCGAGCATACCCACGACGTTTGGGCCTAGTCACCAGGCTATGTACCGCACTACAGCGCATGTGAACAAAGCAGTCCGGCTGACCTCACCTGGCGGTTTATAAATAAACACCTCATGCATGCTGCCAGAAAACGCGAAGCTACAGGAAGACACTTCAGCTGAGACCCGGATTTCTTCACCGAAAAAGCTCTGAGCAAAGTTCAGGTTTGTGGGAATCGTCTACAAGCCTGCTGGAGCTTTTGCCAGGGGGTGCTGGAATTTCTAAAGGCTTACAAAATTAATGCGAACGCGGAGCGCAAAGCCCTTATACGGCGTGGCTTAAAGGGCCCCTAAAAGTTTTGGAATATGGATGCTCTGTGGTGCAATCTGAGGCGATTCCTGGCCTCTTTCAAATGACTTTTTAGCAAACGTTTTTGTTGAGATTATAAAGACAATTTATTTCACTTTTTGTTTAGGAAATACTGTTTCTCTTATATCGTTTCTACTGTACTGAAAAGTCGAGAACCCTGTATTTTATCTCCAATTTTTTCGTTCCATTTAATTCTGGAAAAAGAATTGTATCATTATGCATCGCATGTATCATTATGCATCGCATGTAAATATAGGTTTTCCCGGCCAATTTTGCAAAGCAGCATTCGAATTCATCTTGATAGTGTCCAATTTGAAGCGGAGTAGCGCCCTGCTTTCATTCCCGTGGTTCGTATTAGATTTCAGGCGTTCAAATTCGTTGAAAGATCGACATTTTCATGTTTAACTCATTCTAAACTGAAGTTATGTCATTCGGTTTAAGTGATCATTCAATTTAGCAGTCGGTTTGGTAAAGGGTTATTTGCATGAGATTCTTGTTTGCTTTTTCATTTCCGTTCATTCTAATTAGCACTTTCTGCATTCAAAAAAAAAAAAAATAAAACAAAGGCATACGACGCGATTCTCTTTATTTCTTGCACCTTTTTATCATTTCTGATGTTCCGTTTCATTTTTTTCAAAGTAACTATCTGTCTCTTTATTCTAAAGAAGAAAAAATGTAAACAAATTGACCAAAAAGGGGGCTTAACTAAACATATTTATATATGAAACAACAAACATATAGGCAACAGTAAACTTAGGTGATGTTTCCCTTCTTTTTATCGTGTTCATATAAATCTATATGTTCTTAATTCTTTATCTTTGGGCTTTTGATCTTCTGTTTTCAATTGTGATCTTGGTTATACATTTTATATATATTTGTTTATATCTCTTTAACTTTTTAGATGTTTAATCAGCTTAGAGTCCCTTTTTGTCTCTCTTTATTTTGGAATGATGAGGATACAGTCTCCTGCAGGTCTGTTAGCCATCGATCTCTTGCTGCGCCAAGCATCTACATTTGAAAGTCTCATGTAACGCCCGTGAGCTGCCATGTTGATATTTTCTAGTGCTTCAAGCTAACAGTGTGCACGGTGATCAGAGTACATATTGGCAGAATCTTGTTGGAGACAGGTTTTTATATCCATATTCCAAATTGGAACAAAGGCACTCCATCTAATTCTAACAAACAACGGAATGACATAAACCCATTTCGACCAAACTTACACAGCTGGAAGCTCTGGCGAATTTGGATGCTCGTTTGTGAAATTTTAATTTGAATGCCCTGTTGTTAAAATTGCATGATTACAATGTGAAATCGCATGCTTCAAATGTTAAATTGATTGGTGTTTTTAGCTAATTGAATGTTGATCTCAACATGTGTTCAAATTCGTGCAAAAATGAGTGATTGGTCACCAATTTGGCCGCCAATCCTGCTAACTTGGCCGGGAAAACCTATATTATTGTTGCAAGGCTGCTTTCTTACATCAGCCTGCTTTAAAGCCCCGGAAAATGTTGGATTCTGGATGCACTGTGATGAAATATACTAAAGTATAAACTTAAACTTATAAAACCCGAAAGATTTTTTTGTTCAAGTTAAAACATAATGGTTCCACTGGAAGCGGATGAATTTCTGTTCATAAAAATATGCCCATGGGCCTAAACGATGTAGCTATCGATATATTTGCAGTGTTATTTGTTTGTTACAGGGAATGGCAAATATAAAAGACTAACGGACCAAATGCATCTTTATGTTTATGGCAAGTTTGGGGCTAGGCAAAGATATATCGGTCTACTGAGTTTTTATGAGAAAAAACATACAGAGGGTAAAACCGTGAATAGCTTTTTTTTCATTAGAACGAAACTACACTGAAATTGGCGTAAAGCATGACTAGTTTCAATAAAAGACCGTCCCACTCCTAGTAGGTTGGGAATGTGTGTGAACCTTGTTATTTGTTAATGTTGAGTACAGAATGCTAGCAACGTCAATGAAGCTTTTAAATGAAAAGAAAAACCTTCAGGGGAAAGGTATGAACTTTGCCCCTATTGAAAGATCGAATGAAAAAAATCCTGGCAAGCATCAACTTTACCACCATTGTCATGGCCGAGGTTACTGCTTTCGGGTCAAAGCTTCCATCACGGCGGAAGTATTATAGACATGTCATGATTTTAGATACATTAGATTCTGTACTGCCTGAAGATTTAGAAATACCTCTTCTGGATATTTTACAGTAATACTTTGTGTTAGACGTTCGAAGTGCCGCACTTAGCCGTGGCAAAACAAGAAACGAACAAAACAAAGGAGATATTTGTAGAGCATGCATAATGTTTAGCGTAGAGGCGCATCCAACGTCGTAGAACACTGCTTGCTGGAACACATTTTTGCCCGGGAGTAGGGGGTGCTGAAGCATATTCCAGCACACCATTCCAAAAAGTTGGGGGTGTTGCAGCACCCACAGCACCATCTGTTCCCGCAGGCTTGATTGTCTACCCATTTGTCAGTCACTGACAGTTTACTGTAATGGGTAGTGTCATGCCAAAGAAAAACCAAAAATCCATGTTTGGGTTAATTGGACTCGCCAACTATCAGGACTATATACCACTAGTGATGTTAAATTCAAACAGGAATGCTTTGAATTTATCGGTTAAGGTTTTAATTTCTTTGAGGGAAACTGGGGGTGACACAACGATAAAAACGACAAAACGCAACGCGAAAACAAAGCTAGTGGTCACCACGATGCACCGTGAATGCACAGAACCGCGATTATTAAGATGTTTTTACTATTGTTCAGAGTGCTAACCAAAAATGACTTTAATTGAATGTTCAAAATGAAAACTTCTTGATATTGCATTGGAGGCTGAAAAGGTAGGTTCTCAATAGCTACCAATGCTCACATATTTACAATGGAAGGCAAAAGGATCGAGCACAAGATCTTTCTAGTAATTTAACTCTGGATTGAACTAGTTATAATCTTTCTGTATAAAGCAAGTCCACAGTAATCCTTGTTTTGCATCATCCGATACTAACCTGTCTATTTTTCTTATTTCCTTTTTTACAGAACTGATAAGTTGGAATATCAGCTCAGAAGAGAATATCCACAGCTCTCTTTCCGTAAATATTTGCGACATTGCCCAATGGAAGTGTGGTTGAATCTCTGGAGACTTCAGAGGAGGATTCATAAACTGAAACTTATGGCGTAGAAAGCAAGACCGACACTTTATCCTCCATAAGATTTTATGAGAACTTTGATGTAGTGATAAAATAATTTGCAGTTCCATCAGCAGGACCAGTTAGCATAAGGCATTTTTAGGAAACGCGGAGTAACTTAATTCTAGATTTTACAACTACATGTATCCTTGTGTTTATTAGTGTTGGTTTTATCATTAATATTATTATTTCATTTTATGCATTAAAACAACATTAAAAAGCCCAGGAGAAAAGCAAATTCTGTGAACATTAACAGTGAGACGAGCCACATATGACGAGCCAAATCACTCTCTTTAAATTGTAATCATACACAATAGCATGAGTTAAAGTTTTGTTTTCTTTTTACTGATATACATGAAACCTTTTTTTTTCGGTGCTAATCAGTGTGCCAATATACAGAGAGCTGAAATTTTCTTTAACAAAACACTTTTCTCCGAACCAAAATTGTCAGGGCTGTTTTGATAGCAAATACAACGGTTGATTTCTGAAATTATCACACCATACTCTGACTTCTGACAGTCAGAATGTGCTGAAATTTTGAAATAGGAAGTTAAGCAAGGCCTCAAACCGCAAAATGTGGGTTTTTAGCATATGTCACTCATACGTACATGACATTGGCAAACTTTGATAAAGTGTAAATTGACGGCCTGACGGCCTATGATAAAGCAGTTGAATGGATTTGTCATTTACAATGTACATGTTATTGAGTGGAAATGTGTTTGGTTTCGTTTGATTTATGGGACTTCTGACCAATGGGACGTCGGACCAATGGTACTTCGGACTATAGAGACGTCCCCATATGGTCTTTGATGACATATGGCGAGACTGTAGTAAACCTGGACAACTTTTTTTTCTCTTCAAAGCACTTAAGTTTCTATTCAATCCAGTCTTAGTATTAAGGATTCCTACAACTTGTTAACGTAAAATGTTCTACGGTTAACCGTTACCTAACACAGGCAAGGTTTCTGTCAGACCATGGGCGTCGCGAGGGGGGGAGGGCAAGGGGGGGCCCCTGGAAAAGCAAAAAAAAAAAAGAAGAAGAAGAGGAAGAAAAAAAAAGAGAAAAAAGAAAGGAAAAAGGGGCGCGAAGTCATAGTGGTGTAAATTTAATGAGTTGGGGGGGGGGGGCAAAATGTCCCTGCCCCCGTCTAAAACTGAGAAATCGAGAATTTGTTCAGAAATACAAGATTTTTTTTGGGAAAAATATGTTTTGCCCCCCTCTAGAAAAAATCCTGGCGACGCCCATGTATCAGACCCATCCCTCACACCTGGCTGTAAAAGTTGTAACAAGGTACGAATCTCAGGTTGTCTGTTTATCATTCTTTGAAATGGACAGAAACTTGGGATGCGAAGTCCCTATATGTGACCGCAAGGATGCTTTACTCGTTTTGCACATTTTACTTACACATAAGGAGAGCAAGAAAGACAGTTGACTGCATGAGGAAAAACAGTTTGTAAGCGTGCTTAGAAGCCATCTCCAAGAAGCTGACTGAATTCTGAGAAGCTGACTGAATGCCCTGAAACAACAAAACAACAAACATTTCGGCAAATAGTTGACCTTATTGTGCAGAATGTTTTAAAAGCATATTTGATCACCCAGCAAATGATCATCAAACAGTAATTGTTTTTTTCACCTTAAGTATAACATATTCAAGAGCAGGTTTTAATATACATATTTCACTTGTAAACTAGTTTTTTCTCCATTGGAAACGCAAGAGATCGGATCTGTTAACAGCGGTTAACCCATGCACCAACAATGACCAGCGGCATGCTCACCCTTAAACAAAATCACGCAAATTCAAAAAGATAAGAACAAACTTGAAATACGAGCAATAAAAAGGCACCTTTAACATGCGATTTACCCTTAATAGTGGGTAATATTATATTTCTTAAACTGTTAGGTTGGCGATTATGATATGACTTGAATTCATAGCACTATACAGATATATAGTAACGAAGAGCGTCTTGTAAATTGTCGTTTACGTGTTAATTCCCTTAAAGAAATGTCCCATGAACTTCCCATGGGATTCCCATGGGGTCCCATGGGATTGACCCCATGGGAAACCCATGGGGTCATCAAGAACACCATATACGTTAAAATGATCGCCATGGGAGATTTTATGCTCACCATGGGAAACCCATGGGAACACCATGGAGATTGCATGGACAACATGGGAACACCATGGGGATTTTATGAGCTCCATGGGAACACCATGGGGATTTTATGGACACCATGGGAACACAACAGGATTTTATGGACATCATGGGAACACCATGTGGAATTTATGAACACCATGGGAACACCATGGGGATTTACTGGACACCATGGGAACATGGGTACATGCATGCACGCCAGGATTCTATTTTTTATGCTGACCATGGGAAGCTTCTGTGGATTTTCACCAACTGAACACAATGGAACAAACACCATGCATATGGGACACCATGGGATTTTTTTGTGAGATTCACTTCAATAACAAGTGTTCTAATTGCAAATTTTTGTATTTTTCTGTTGATAAGTGAAGTCAAATGAAGCATACGGTATTTTTATGTGAAAAATGTGTCATTCAAAGAACTTTTAATAATTGATTAATTTGTTATTATGGTTGGAAACATTCATGAGAAAATAAAGCTTGACAAGTGGTATGGGAGCAGTAATGAGGACATTGGTCATAGAGTGCACAAGCCACTCCTAATACGAGAAATAACCCCGATCAGAGTTCCATTGCGCTTAACCTATATTCGTTGAAAAGCAAAAAACACACAGGGTTAAAATGTATAAAGAAAGTTGTTATTGAAAATTACCATGGAGGAACTTGGAATCTGTTGAGATATGATATGAAATCATACATGGGGAAAACCCAAATAAAATTTTCCATGGGGAAAAAGCCAATGGGAAAACTCCAATGGGAAAAATGCCATGCTACATGGTATCCAATTCACCATGCAATTCCCATGGGGTCCCATGGGAACATTTGAAAAAATATCAGGATTTGATGATCATTTTACCCACTCAACTCCCAGCTTTAGAGGTTAAAAAATGAATATCATTTCGGTATCAATTGAAGAGTTGAATATCCTCCGATAATCATCAAATTGTCACACATCATTATGTTCGAACATTTCGCGAAATATATGATGACGCAACGTACGTACACATTTGTTAGAAAATGGGAGCACGGAATTAGTAATTAACTCACCTTACTGTTGATTAATCTCGACAAATGCTCACTGGTTTCTCCTTATTCTTCAAAATGATTCTCAACTGTCATTAGTGGAACATGAATTTAGAAACATGCAGTCCATAACCACGATCAGCTCATAACACTCTCGGTGGCTCGCACCTGGTGGGCGAAGTACGTGTAGGCCTATATGCATAGAGCATGCGCTAGGACTCTCATTGCTGATAGGGCTCTCATTCCTTGCAATAAGCCATTTGCGTGTATACCTATACCCTTTGGGATTTACATTTGAAAAACGTCTGGTACAATGACTTGCTCAGAATGCTTGGCACATTTTAACTGTAAATTCTCCAGACCAAAGACACTGTTGCTAATCACATGATTCGGGGCAAGCTCTTGCATAGTTACGTAAGAGACGCTCAGCAACAATACATCGTTCACAATGGGTGAGAATGGCACAAAGACACCAGACCATGCCGGAGCTGGGGGTTGCTAGCATAAGGTTTGCCCCGAATCACGTGATATAGTAACAGTCTCTTTGATCGGGAGAATGCTAGGTTAAAACGTGCAAAAAGCATTGTATTAAGTCAGCGTTCCAGATTTTATTCAAATCTAACACGCAAGTGGCTTATTCCTTGCAGTTCCTTGCACTATGCTAGTGCAGTATTCAAGAACACCAACAGCTGCACGCTTGCCGATTGTGTTATATAATCACTCCTGAGCATCGTGCAGTCTGTGCATGTGAAGTGACCGTGGACAGTAGCCTACATTATTAATGAAGGCTACTGTAAACATCGTTTCCAAGCAGCGGCGGCGGAACGGGTTTGACTCGGAAACTGGGGGGGGGGGGGGGGGGGGGGGGCATCACCACAAAGGGGCACTTGCAAACCCGTGCTGAAATGTCGACACGTTTTTTCACCGGACACTTGGCCTCCGTAAAATCAAATGGGGGGGGGGGGGGCGCTCTTCAAAACCAATGATTATATGCTAAATATGCATTCATTTGCTAATTTAAATATGCATTAATTTGCTCACGGTATTTCTTTTTTGTTTTGTTTTGAAGTTACAATTTAAAGGAAAAAAATCCCCGAATTGTTTGAAGTTGGTGGCACCACTTACTCCCCCATTATACTACTCGAAAATACACCGAAATAGGCCAAGTCGTGGGACTAGAATATAAAAAGGAACCTCTTAGGGGAGGTCAAGCTTTCTAAAAGTAAAATTGATGTGCACTTGGACTTGGCTAACATGAACAAATGTGTTTTTACAGTTACAAGTCATGTTATTTATAAACAGATGTGTTCGTATACAAAAAAGTTCATCATTACTTTCATTTCTTTTCCAGATGTGCTTCGTTCAAGTGATGGAGAAGAGACATATTACCTAAGCCCTACTACTATACTACTATCCGTGGCAACCTGCACCATCAAAGACAGCATCACGACGGCCTGATGCCTGATGTCAAAAAATGGATTAGAGCTCATGTCTTTGCTGGCTTCTCTTTATGTTCTCAAAATTATTGAACTTAAAGGGCATCGTTATTATTTATGGTCAACGTTGACATGCTTGTTATAAGTATTATTTTATTTAGAATTTAAGCCTGCCGGTAATGCTGAGCCTGCATACTGCCAAAGTTACCAGTGGCATCCCTACATTTTCTCGTGCAAATAGGCTAGGACCCATTTTTGACCCTAATTTTATCAAATCTGCTCTTAGATAATAGCCCAAAAGCTAGGGAGATGATCCTCGGCTATATTTGCACTATTCCACCGATTTTTAAACTAGACGGTCTCGTTTTTTACAAAAAATTAAGGGGGCACTTTTATGCAAATTAACGACTTGTGCGTAAATTGTTTTGAAACCCTAATCAAAATAATTGCGCCCGCTGTCGTTCTTATTGCGCCATTCTGATTATCTTCTGTCTAGCCCCCCCCCACCAACCCCCCCCCCCCACACCAAAAAATAAAAGTAATTAAATACTGCTAAAAATGTGCTTGTTTATTCAGAAGTTCATGAAGCATATTCAAACTGATTGGATGTTTCCAAAGTGTCTTTCCCATTTGCAAAAGTTCTTTTTAAACTAGCGGGATGCCGCGCTTCGCGCGGCATCCGCTAGATGGGTAGAGTTGACTGTTTCGTAATAATTACTGTATACAATGAAATCTCGATAATTTAAACTCTAATAACTTCCAAACAACTGTTAAGTCAAATTAAGAATCATACCCTCTGCTACACGCGAGGCGCGAGCCTATTTGGACTCGCTATCAGTCTCGCCTAATTTGTATTTGCGTTCAACGTGCGCGTACATAACGTTTCCTGCGGAGATTGTGCGAGGGTCCAGGACATATTGTCAATATAGGGGAAGGGGCTAGCTAGGGTGAAGGGTGCTAGTTGGAACGCCCAATTTCCGTAAAACCCGTCGACCATGTCACCAATATTTCCGGGGATGGGGAGAAACATTTCCAGGGATGGGGAGAAATGGTTTTTGTTATAGAGGGGAGATGGTGATATTGAAATCGCTGATATTGTGGAGGTTAATGTTTGTGCTGGGATTCATACCGTTTATATGTTTTAAATTGCGCGCCGATTAGGAAGGTCTTGCTGTCAACAGTTGAATGAAATTAAGTATTCATTGCCGACCGATTGTCTCATGCGGTGTCTCATTATATAAAGCTCATAAATAATGTTGTGCAGGAATATTGTCCAGTCAATTTGAACATTGAATTTTCAAGGTGCCATTACCATTAAGGACGTATACACCAACTGTACAATTAGGTAATTGAGATGAAACGCGGTTTGATCTTGGCCTATATAACGTCGTATCCATCGTTTTCACTACAGAGGAGAGGAGGGGGCAGCCAGTGGGGGTGGGGGTTGGGTATTGTGTGGGCGTCGCCAGAATTTTTTCTAGAGGGGGGTAAAACATATTTTTGCCCACAAAATGCCTGTTTTTCTCAACACATTCTCGATTTATCAGTTTTAGAGGGGGGCAGTGACATTTTGCTCCCCCCAACCCATTAAATTTACACCACTATGACTTTTTTTTTTGGCTTTTCCGGGGGGGGGGAGTGCCCCCCCCCCCCCTGCGACGCCCATGCCTATTTATGTTACACCTGTGAATGGTCACTTATATTTCCGGGGAAGTGGGCAACAATTTATATTTGTTATGGTGAAGGGGGTGTTTCTTATGTATTAAGTAGAAGTTAATGTCATTATAGCAGTTGGTGTTTTTATTATGGTGATGGGGTTGTACAGCAAAGTATTGTAACACGTTTATTTGCAGAAGAGAGTAAAACTAAAAGAAAGGACATATTGGAGCACATGTTAAATGTACTTATAACAAAACTGTGAAAATGAAATCAGGTATACACACATTTTTTTGTAATAATGTACATGTTTTTGTATTTGCATTCATTACTGTACAGGGTAGTACTTCGACAAAACTCAGGGGATATAATTGTAGTCAGTTTTAGGAGCAATTTTCGCAAGGGACGTCGGTCCAGGCTTGTTTACCATAGGCACAAACATTCCATGAAAGACTTTCAAGCAAGACGGCCAAAGGTTATTGTGCAATTGCAGTTTTTGTGTTGAAAGCTGTAATCATAAATAATGACAGTGGCATTGTAAGTTACAGGACAACATTTTTTTAATGAGTGTTGGTGAAAACTCATGAGAAACGGAGGGGTATGCGATCATGAATATTTTGTTGTGAAATTTTAAGAGTGATTATGTAATTTGGTAATCAAAGACATTGTTTTGTTATCAAATAAGTTTGCCAGGATCGACACAGTCTGCTTGGCCAGTAATTATCGGGTAATCATTCCATCATTATTCTTGGGTACAACTAAGCAAAGGATATAATTTTAAAAAAGGATGGACATCAAACAGCAGAAAAGAGTGATTTTGTTTGCACTATTTCATGAATTCTAAAAAATAAAATTATGGCTAGAAGGAAAATGTGTTTTGAATGGGTAAAGAGAAAAAGCAGGAATCTTGCAGTTGAACTTGAAAGAATAGGTGTCTTCGTCTTGAGTTGAGATTATTGCTTTAGGAACTGGTTGAAGCATGCACTGGAGCATGCTTGGAGCATGGTTGGAGCTGGTCATGTGATGTGGGTGTCATCGGGAGTCCTGTGTAAAGGAGTTAGAAAGAAAAGAATAACGACTAAGGTGAAGAAAACTTGCAATACCCCATTTATGCGGAATGCACTACTGAAGTACTAACCAAACATGCCAAACAACGAAACATGTCTTATATGTTGTATTTTTGTGAACCCCCCCCCCCATATGATTTTATCTCAGCAGAACAGCAGAGACACTGAACAGTCATCAATGTATTACTTTCCTCTTTATCCTGCTTGGGTTCATGTCTGTTGTCGAGTCATGTGATTTTCTGTCAGAGTGTATTCTCTTAGATCCACTATTCTAACTGTGTTGGTTTCAGGTTTTAGTCTTTGCCTGTATTTTGGGTTTTTTGGCCTGAGGTTTGAACTTGATCACGTCTTTAATTTTGATTTGAGGGTTTCTTTATTAAGTTGGTTATTGGTCTTTGATTTGCAGTAAATTAATTTGGTTTGCCTATGAGTATGAAAGCCATTTCTTTAAAGGAAGTTTTTAGTATGATTTGCCGTGTTCTAAAATTACCACAAAGATTTAGTTTGCATCATTTGTATGGAATGAATGTACATTTCATGGCCTATATACAAATGCAGCAGTTTTTTTGTAGCTAGTACTGAGTAATAGTAGTAGGCCTAGGCTTAGGACTAAAACAAACTAAAGCAAAATCCAAAAATAAACTACCAACAAAGCCCAATTGTGAAATCAAAAGTTGACAAAGTTCTACAAACATGTTCGGGTACATGTTCCAAGTGAGGCCTGTAGTTGCGGAGGTCATGCAGCATGCAGTAAATTGGCCACATTAAGCCTAGCCATGGAGCAAGGAAAACGAAGTAAACACACGGCCAAACTCGGGCCGAGGCCTCCCCCCTACAACCCTCCCCGTACAACCCTCCCCGTACTACCACCAGACTACGCCATCATTGGACACTAACAAACTTACACTTTTCACAACCCACAATGCTTCTCAATGCCAGTGGCGATCGAAAGAATACCACTTTTCTCAAACAAAAATACATATCATAAATGAGACTTACCGTTCAAAGAGAAAACTGGAGCAAGGAGGAACAGATACATCAACCATGTCAACAATGCTGTGCTGTTGCATGCGCTGCATGCTCACAACGAACGTACATGTATACGTGGCACGTCAATTATCCGGCCCGTACGCTGCATGCTCATAAACGAACGTTTACGACGTGGCA